AGGGAGAAGCAGGCTTCCCGCGGAGCAGGGAGCCCGATGTCGGGCTCGATCCCAGGACCCTGGGACCATGACCTGAGCGGAAGTCAGACGCTTAACGACTGAGCCACCCAGGCGCCCCTGAATAGGTCGTTTTGGTGGCTTTTGAAAAATGATATTCTAAGCTTCTCTATTTATGTGATTTACTTCCCATAGCTAACAATTGCTTCAGTGACTAGATTTTTCTTTGGTTTAGATTCCAGTCCATACTCAATATGAATTGCTATCCCTAAAAAACTTATACCTAAATCTTTGAATTTCAGAAAGCATTAGCCTTTGTTTAAGGGAAAAAAAAGTTCTAGTGAAGTTCTGTAGTACATGTTTCAGGAAATTAATATGCTGTTAGAAGAACAACAGTAATACTTTGTGGTGTTAACAGATTTTACAGTGTTTTTACACATTTTCTCATCTGAATCTTTCTCATCTGGAGTAAAATACATAGATCAAAACAATTATTTTCGGGATGCCTGGGTGGCTCAGTCGTTGAGCGCCTGCCTTCAGCTCAGGTCGTGGTCCCGGCCGGGGTCCTAGGATGGAGCCCCACGTCGGGCTCCTGCTCAAGGATCATTCAGTGCCGTTACAGCCATATTTGAAGTAACATACATGTAGTAAGTGATATTCCACACAGTGTTAGCTATACAAGGAAACATTACAAAGAGGAAGAAATTAAAAGTTAGGTGATGGGAATTCATGTTTTTTATGAAGTACATTTTGAAGAATTTATAGTTATGTCTAATTTATACTGACTTTTTTTTTGCAGTGGAGAGATATTGAGGTGGTAAAAAATGCCCCAACTGTAAATAATAAACCATAAACTAAAATGGAATAGAGGGGCACCTGGGTGGCTCTGTCAGTTAAGCTTCTGACTCTTGATTTCGGTTCAGGTCTTGATCTCAGAGTCATGAGATCAAGCCCCAAGTCGGGCTCCCCACTCAGTGTGGAGTCTGCTTCCCTCCCCATCCTTCTGCTCCCCTCTCACCTTCTGCACACTTTCTCTGTTTCTGATAAATAAATAAATCTTTAAGAAAAACTAAAATGGAATAGAAACATAATTATTAATAGATACAATATTTTGCTAAGGTTAGTAGTGGAGATTGTGAGTTGGTAGATATCAATAAAGTCTTCTTTTCAATTAATTAAAGAAATTTAGCTATCTTACATTTTCTAAAGATTTTAAAGGGCATCTTAAAGGTAAGGTACTTGAGAAATAGATAAAAGTAGGTTGTAATTCTTCCTTCTCAGTCAAATAAAGGTATCTATACTTAAAAATACTATTATACAATATCTCATTATTTTAAAGGATCCCAAATGTGACTAATAGGTGTTAAAAATGAGAGATAATGTATTTGAGAAGTACTGATGTAATTTATAAAGCATCACATTAATATTAGCTATTTTTTAGAGTAAAGTTCTTTAGTTAAAAATCTGACTTTTGGGGATGCCTGGGTGGCTCGGTTGGGCGTCTGCTTTTGGCTCTGGTCATGATCCCAGGGTCCTGGGATCAAGTCCCACATCGGGCTCCTTGCTTGGCGAGGAGTCGGTTTCTCCCTCTGCCTGCCACTCCCCCTGTTTGTGCATGCACGCTCTCTCTCTCTCTAGCTCTATCTCTGACAAATAAATCTTTAAAAAAAAATCTGACTTTTTACTTTATAAGCTGGCTAGCAAGATAGATACAGATACTGATATAATTTACTTCTTATATTGTGTTCTTCCTCTTTACAGAGAAATGGTATTATTTTTTCCACAGCAAACTTGAAAAATAGTAAATGCATATTACTGTTAATTACCTCTTCCCCCACCCCCTTTTTTTAAGTATCTATAAGGTTATAAATGTCCAGATAGAGAAAGAGAGGCTACCTGTACCCCAAGCCCTGGGAATTGGATGAAGTCTCAGGTGACAAATCCTCTTCATTTATTCAACTGACCTCCCAATTGTGGAATGCAGACAAAAGGGTCCCACCACCCCACCCCCATATCTAAAGCATCAGACATCCCACAGTCTGGCTTTGGCTCGAGTCATCTTCCTTTCTTAATGGCTGCTGAGATTTGTGTCTCAAAGCTTGGTTGCCCCGTGTGAGTAAAGACCTTTCCATGTAATATTTGCTCAATATTTATAAAAAAAATAGAATTTGGAATTTTTTTTTTTTTCTAAGTAGGCTCCATGCCCAATGTGGGGCTTGAACTCACAACCGTGAGATTAAGAGTCACATGTTCTACCAACAGAGCCAGCCAGGTGCCCTGAATATTTTGTTTTCATAGAGAAAATTTAGAGCCAGTCTATAAAATAGTGATTTTTATCAAATTATTCATCAACTGGCAGAGTTGTAACTTAAAGAAATCTCTTTGTTCTTTTGATATAACATGTGTTTTCTCACTTTAGGCAACAGAAGCAGCAGTATACTAACCAACTTGCCAAAGAAACGGATAAGTACATTAAAGAGTTTGGATCTCTGCCCACCACCCCCAGTGAACAGGTATCAAGCCTTAAGACACATTGTTGATGTATTGAATGTGAAAGAAATCACATACATTGTAGGGTCTTTGAACTGTTATGCTAGAAAGCAAATTAAGGGGGAAAAATTGTATTTGAGATTAGTTCACAGAACACAAAACTATATTTAATTGCCCAGGTAGTATCCTGTGGTTCAATAAAGCAAAAATTATTTCCATGCAGTTGCCCTGACCCATAATTAAGCAAGTGCTCAGAAAATGCTTCCTGAGTAATTGTTTCCTGGCCTTCCAGAGCTGACTCCATGTGACATGCACACTCATTCAGGATGTGAGATTTCCTAGGGGCACATATTTATTTCCTTGCTTATTATTTAGCAGAAGTTATTACTTAGGTAAGAGTACAAGGTTTTATTTTCCTAAAAAGAAAACAAAAAGAACTACTTAAAAATAATCTCAAAATCATGGCCCAGTTTTTAGGATGAAAATTTGAGGTGAAAAATCCAACATTATGAACATTTTGCCTCAAGATGGTAAATATACATAGCATTTGAACATGTTGTCAAAATGTTATTGAGATTTAATCAGTAGGGCCCCGTAATTGGAGAGTGAGTGAGAATTTCAGAATAAAATGAAGAGCCAGCTAGTGGTGAAACAACTTTCGTGAATTCTATAGAACTTCACAGCTTGATTCTAGTAGGTTTCTCCCCCTTTCCTCTAGCGTCAAAGGAAAATACAGAAGGATCGCTTGGTGGCTGAATTCACAACATCACTGACAAACTTTCAAAAGGTCCAGAGGCAAGCTGCAGAGAAAGAGAAAGAGTTTGTTGCTCGAGTAAGAGCCAGTTCCAGAGTATCTGTAAGTATTTAACAAGGCATTATAAAGTGAATCTGATGTTCCTTTGAAAGACTACATTAGCATTTTTCTAAGTCATAAGGATCTGTGACTATCTTGGCAGTCAGTATTTGAATATTTATTTTCAGGTTTTTCTGCTCAATTTTAAGAAGGATGATAGTTATGTATTGCTGTGATTATTTTGTCCATGTCATGGAACCAAAGATTACAGATGATTATATAAAAATTTGGAAGCATTTTGTCAGAAAGACTAGGGGTCAGACCTGAGTGATAGTCCCACATTGATTTGTACTAGAGGCCATCACGTTCTGTCAGGGCTCATGTAGGGAACACTTTACTCCTGGGTCATATGAAGAGGACAGGAATGAACAGTCAGTATGTTGTGTGGATACTGAAAATGAATATAAGCCTGGGGAAAATAAAAGGAAAACTTAAAGTGGAATTTTGAGTTAATCTAATTTTAAATTCCCTTCAAAACTATTGCAAGTTGTTTCCTTGTTCCTTAAGGTAGAGGCTCCAGGACTATAGTACATTTTAATCAAGTAATATTAATTATTTGGCCCTTGAGAATATTTAATGAATTCCTTCCTTGTCAGCTTAGGATACAATTTTATTATTACTCGAAGCACTTGACCTAGAAAATGAGAACAAAAACATTTCTCTTTCTCTCCACACACACGCACACGTGTGCGTGCACATGCGTACATAAATCAGTTTAGATTATTATAAGAGAAAATGTGAGTTTTGGTGTTTTTTCTTTGCCCCTTCTCAGTCCATTCTATTACTAAATTATTCAGGGTGGTTTTCCTGAGGACAGCTCAAAGGAAAGGAATCTTGTATCCTGGGAAAGGTAAGAAATACAAAACATACAGATCAAAAGATAATTTTGCAAATGTACTTTTTTGTATAAATATATTTATACATTATGATCCCTGCAGCAGAATGAAAGTTTTCAGTTTATTATATCATGACTGTCCTAAGTTATTTATAAATAGAAAGCAATAAATTTGAAATTTTTTTCAAAATAATTATAACGTCTACATATATATAAAATATTCCAGTGTAGCAGTAATACTTTGTAAATAATTATTTACCCAAGTAAATATGATTGACTTAATTATTATTTGATGGAGATTATTTCCTCCCGTGACGTTTAAGTCAACCAAAAAGAAATATGCAGTTGCCAAATATAACTTCCAATAATTAAATAATAACTCTAAAAAAAAATCAATGAAATGAAACATGAATAGTTTAATATTTCTGTTATAATCTTAAAATTGAAGAATATAAGAAGTTGAAGCAATTCTCTGACTTTGAAGAAAAGATATTCTGTTTCATGTTTCTTAAATAAGGAAAGAAGTCCCATTAATTTAATACCATTCCTTTTTTTTTTTTTTCCATGTTCTGTTCTGTCTGTTAGCCAAGCTCAACCTCAGGTGCAGGTGCAGGATGAAGAAATTACAGAGGATGACCTCCGCCTTATTCAGGAGAGAGAATCTTCTATTCGGCAGCTTGAAGTAAGCTTGACGTGGCAGTTGGATGGCTGCTCTGTTCTCAGCGTGTTTGTCCTCAAGATGCTTAGACAATGCTGGGGGAGGGGCCTGAGAAAGAAAACTGAATATATCAATGTGGTGGCATTTCGTGTAAATGAGAATAATTCCCTTTTTTTAAATAAATCTCGTTGGAATTCGTGCTAAAATGAGAGAACATACCTCCCTCATCTCCTACTTTTGTTTTTTATCCTGTCAGATCATCTCAGGTCCTTAGCATGGAGAAAAACTCAGTCCAGACAGGTCTGCTCAGGGAGTCTGGACGACTTCTGGAACACATGATACACCTCAGAGCCACATGAATAAGACTTGACAGGGGCTGTACGAGTATTTTATTTCTCTGTAGTATGTTCATGACGTCAAAGAGATCTGAAGGGTTTAGTAAGCCTTAGTTCTTATGGAACCTACCTATTCCCTAGAAGACTGGCTAATAGCTCACCATAGCTACAATTTATTGAGGGTTTTTAAGCACCATGTGATAAATTCTTTGCATTATCTCATTTAGTTCTCATAAAAACCATGAAGTAGTTAACTGTGTCATCATCATCACCATTTTATAGGTGGGAAAACTAAGGCACAGGATGAATATGTAAATTGTCCCCCCCATAGACTATTTAAACTTAACTTTTTAATCAGGCAAAATAATAGTTATCATATATTAAAGAAAAGTAAAGTTATAACTTGTTCATTGCTATTCCATTGCATAATCAAACTTACTAATGTGAGACTTAAAATTTATACCTAATGTTTTATACTTTTATAATGTCAAATTGATGTGTAAGTTTTTACTAGGAATAAATCATAACAATGATATTTTATACTCTTATGAGGTAATACTGCTAGTGATAACAAAACTATCAGATTATATCAATATAAACTCAGTGACCCAGGGCACTTCTCTGTTAATAGATTCCTGGTGTCCATGTGCCTTGCTTGGTATTTTTAGTGTCACAAACTTACCTTTAGAACTGGTTAAAGTCATTCAAGGTCGTCTTACTTAGGGTTGCCTCTAGTCATATAGTTTCCTGATATTTCCAAAATCTCTGTATTAAGCCTAGATGCATTCTCACTTGTGTCTAAGTGGTGGTTTGGGGTTTTGTTTGTTTTCTGTTTTTTGGTGTTTGTTTTTTTTTTTAATTTTTCCCCTTTGTGGATTGAGGGCTGAATTTCTGATTATAGTAACACGTGCCTTTTTCTCTCAGGCTGATATTATGGATATCAATGAAATATTTAAAGATTTGGGAATGATGATCCACGAACAAGGAGATGTGATAGGTAAGCCCCACTGGGGTGGGAGAAAGCTACACGCAGTTTACCTGCAGGAACCTCTCAAGCAAGAGTAACCCCTGTGTCTCTGGGACCCCCTGGAATTAAAAGCACAGCCTCTACCAATAGACAAAGCATCACCCTTGGCATTATCTAAAACAGATCTCATCTTTGGCTCCCACTGATTGAATCAACTGGCTTCATTTATTTCTGAAGCCCCACATCTCACCAGAGCCTGCTGCTGCTGAGACCGTGGAGCCAGCCTCTAGTCTCACTGCCGCCTGTTTGCCAGACCCCTGGTTTCCATCTCAGCCCCACTAATTCTCATCACACCAAGCACTTTCTGGGAAACCTGTGCTCTTTATAATACCTTGTCTTTTAGATCAGAGGGAATAGGTAGCCGTTTGCCTGATTATTTATTCCAGTGTCTTTTCGGTACATTAATTTAGTGGTATTACTTAGATGCGAAGCATTCTTTTACAAATTCTTTAAAAAAAAAAATCAGTGGCTAAGACTCCCTGAAAGTTTAAATGTAATAGCTCTTCAGGTACCGTGTAACTGCCAGCACTGATCAGTGTCCTGATCATTTTTATCATTTAGAAATATGAAGCTATCAGCGGATGTGGCTAAAGATAGATTTCATATATTTTCTGATTTTGGTTCATTGAAATACTTGGAACTATATTTTACTACAGCTATTATTTGTCCATTCTTACCCTTCTCTGTAGCCACAGTAGATAATGGGGTAAAATTTCAAAAACCAATTCATTCATTCATCCAGTAAACATTTATTGAGTGCCTGCTATGTCCGGGCACAAATCTAGGCACTGGGGATTTAGCTGAAATTAAACAAGAGGTAGAAGACCCTGCCTTCATGCATCTTACAATCTAATTGGAGGAGAGAGAATTTTTGTAAAAGGAAAGAAAAGTAAGTAAATGCCGATAAGTGCTCTCGGGAAAATAAGGCAGGTAGTAGGATGGGGCTACTGGTGGTGGGGAATGTTACTGCTTCACTAGGGTGGTCAAGGAAGACCTTACTGATAAGTAACATTTTAGTGAAGACTTCATGGAATTAAGGGAGCAAGTGAAAGAAAATTTTCCAGGTAGAGCAAAGGGCAAGTGCAAAGGCCTTCAGGCAGAAGCACATCTGATGTTTTTGGTGAGTGAAATGAGCAAGAGGGAGATGGAGATGACATCAGAGGTCATAAAGTTTGACATCATGTAGGGCGCTGAGCCCTTGTGAGGACTTGCATTACTATTAACGGATGGGAAGCCACAGGAGAATTTGAGCAGAGGAGTGTTATCATCCGACTTAAGTTTTAATAGATTCGCTTTGGCTGCTAGGTTGAGAGCAGACCATAAAGGGACAAGACCAGAAGCAAAGAGACCCCTTCCAAGGTGATGGCAGGAATCGGGGTGGGCAGTTGCCTCAGATCAGGATGGAAGCAGCGAATTGGTGAGAAGCGGTAGAATTCTAGATAGCTTTAAAATGTAGAACCAAAAAGATTTGCTAACTTGGCTGGATGTGGGTGTGAGAGAGAATGAACTCAAGGACAACTCGTAAGGTTTGGGGCAAGCCCAGGGAAACGATGAGGTTGCCATTTTCTAAGCTGGGTCAGTCTGGAACTGGAGCGGGTTTAGAGGGATGGAGATCGACAATTTTGGGATATGTTAAGTGTGACGTGCCAGTTGAAATGAAGGAGGCTTGCTTGGCAGTCACGAATTCGAAGTGAAAGAAATCAATGTCGGTTATTTTTTTTTGTACCCGTGTGCAGCTGTGAGGGTGCAGGTTGAGGTGTTGTCACATAAGTCTGACTGAGGTAGGTGGCAAAGGAGCTGAGGGTGAGTGCGAGAAGTATGGCTCAGTGGTGGCCCGGGAGATCTAAGCTGGATCAGGAGGAAGGTGAGGGCACAAAGTGTGTTGAGGGGCAGTGAAACAGTGGTAGGTCAGTGACGTTGGGGTGTTGGAAGGAGAGTGCTAGACAGGTAGCAGGTGATGCTCAGAGAGTGAGGTTTGAAACTGAGTTTATAGAGAAGCTGCAGTTACCAGTAGTGACGAGGCTTGGGATATGATCATGGAGGTGGGTGGCTGGGAAGGGGAAACAGGCAAAGTCATTGAAAAAGTATGGTCAAGGCATGGAGAAGGCAGGTGTTAGCAGGTCAGCAGTTGGCTTCTGAAATTGCCATTTTGTAAAAGAGAAGCATTGAAGGGTCCATCGGCGAATCCAGGGCTAAAATATTCAAAGAATGAAGGAAAGACCATGAGGTCTATAGATGTCTGCTACGGGGGGTTGGATGCATTTGCAAGCATGAGCTGTAAGCTGAGTGTTGGTGGGGAGAAGGGGGAGGCCGTGGTCTCAGGCTGTGGGGGCCACTGGTTCCACCTCTAGGCCAGAGCAGCGAGGGAGGGGAAACTGTCGCCACGTGAGAAGGCTGCCTGAGCCCTCAGGGAGGGCTGGGTTTTAGCTCAGAAGGAGGAGGTTGACTGATGGTTTTCAATACTCTGTTGACTCTCAGGAACAGTTGTTAGATGTTCGGTGCTGCCTTGACCATCAGAGCACACAAACTCCCTAGTACTTTTCAGGGGTTACCAGGTAGAACAGGAGTTGTGTCGTAATGAGGATGATCCAGTTTCTTTTCAAGTATCTGTGTGTTGTTTGGATCATTTGAGAAATAGTGTAAAGAAGACTCTGAGCCAGTTTAAAAAGAAATTCAACTTTGCCCGTATACTACCAGTGTTAACATTTGAATAGTGAACATGTTTGGTCTTATGTTGCATGAAGTCTTGTGATTTAAGCAGCTGTCTTACTGGAGCATCAGCACACATTGTGTGTGTGTGTGTGTTTTATTTTAAAGACAGCATAGAAGCCAATGTGGAGAATGCAGACGTGCACGTTCAGCAAGCAAACCAACAGCTGTCAAGGGCAGCAGAATATCAGGTAATATTAACCGCAGTGAGTTATCTTGTAACTTAGGCTTTCCAGTCTGTGTGTGTGTGTGTGTGTGTGTGTGTGTGTTTGGTCTGTGTGTGTGTGTGAGAGAGAGAAAGATTGATCAGGTATAAGGTGGCTGGAGATGTTAAAATTTAAAATCCCATGGAAGACAGGTCCAGATATCTGCCAGTCTGTTTAAAACTGGGGTTAGCCTGTTTCCTGTTTATTCTCAGTGTCAAACAGAATTGTGGCCCCCAGGGATAGGAAGTTCAGTGTTTAGAGTCCTGAGGGGAGCAGTAGATAGACAACTCCAGGCATTTCTGACAGCTGGAGGTCTCTGATGCTGTTGTGACCTTCCAAACCAGAAACCTCTTTGATAACTTTCTTCCCCTATGTCTCTCACTGTTTCCGTCCACCTTTTCTTTCTTTTTTGTCTGTGGCACTCTGCAGTAAGAAGGCAAAGATCTTTGCTCTAGAGAATTCTCATCAAGTCCTATGGAAATTATATTCCCTTGGAGTGCCCTTGATCACTGGGTATTGTCAGCATTCAGCAGACCCTTCACCAGGAATGAATTGATTTCTTCAATGGATCAGGTTAATATAGGGAGTCCGTATATGTGACAGATATGAAGCACATCAGAGTACTACACAGATATTAGGACCATGAACTATGAATATATCATATGATATATAGGCAATAAAAATGAGGCCAGGCTCTTCGGGAACCCCTAAATACCACCATAGCATTTGATTTCCCTCTTAAAATTCCACTTTTTGTTGTTGTTCATAATTATCTTCTCAGACCGTGTTGCCTTCTTCTAAAATACCTAAGATATTATCACAGTCTTAGATATTTTCAATTGCTTTTTGCTTTTCTAACCAACCTCAGAAGTCCCCTTTCATTTCAGTGCCATTTTTCACTAGACAAATCACCGCATACTTAGTGATATATAGAGAACAGTAAAGCTATATGAAGATTGCTGAGTTACAGCCACCTGTACTCAGTGATGTAGTAACTCTAACTCGCCTTTACCTTCTGTGTGCATGTGATTCAGGTATGCAGCTCAGTAGAATTACTGTCACACGTAGGTATCATTCATGAACACGTGCACACACACACACACACACACAATAATCTATAAATGCCAACAGTTACTCAGACGTATTGTTTAGCAAGATTTATCAGCAACTAGGTTTACATGTTATTTTGTTTTGCTTTTGGATTTTGGAGGGATGTAGATATATCTCCAAGTTTTACTTTTCCCCTCTTTGGGAAGGGTAGACCCTACAGCCACCCTGGGAGAAAGGAGCACATCTTCCCAAGCCATACCTCCATATCTAAAGCTGCCCCGTACTTAATTCCATGGGCCCTGGAGAGATGAGGGAAGAGCCGTTCAACATCAGTGCTGAGGAAAAAAGCAGCTTCCCTGTAGTTCTCCTTGGAAACCTTGATATTAAACTCTTGCCTCTGCAAAATATGGTGCTTCTTAATAGTTTGGGTGAACCATGAGTGTAGGGGAAGCTGATCAGTACTCATCATTGCAGTACCCTGGGACCTCACCATCCCACACTAGGGAGGGTGCCCTGGGCCACAGATACCCTGTGGGGGAAGCCTGTGATTATTCTTACAGGTATATTACACATGTACCTATGGTACTCAAGTGGAGTCTGGGGAAAATATGTAGGCAAGATGAGACAAACTCTAGAGAAGTCATACTTCACGTAAGGGAGTATTCAGTTGAAAAAATTGCTGAATATGTGGTATACTGAAATTCATCATAGTTTTCAGGAGAATTTCAGAGTCGGAAACCTGTCTTTCTGTAAATTTTATGGTACTACTAGTTGACAAAGAAAATTTACAAACTTTTCAACCTTGTAAGAAAAAAATTCTGCGGCGCCTGGGTTGCTCAGTCGGTTGAGCGTCTGCCTCCGGCTCAGGTCGTGATCCCAGGGTTCCCCTTGTTAGGCTCCCTGCTCAGTGGGGAGCCTGCTTCTCCCTCTCCCTCTGTCCCTCCCCCTGCTTGTGCTCTCTTTTGCTCTCTTTCTCTCTGTCAAATAAATAAATAAAATCTTTAAGAGAAAAAGAGAAAGGATTCCTGCATGTTGCTATGAGATATGCAAGCCATTAAAGAAATAGGAAATCTACAGCTGGGCCAGAATGAAGAATGGAACAAAACTCTTAACCTCTATAATTTAAATGACTGCATTATGATTTTTTTTTAAAGATTTTATTTATTTATTTGAGAGAGAGAATGAGAGAGAGCACATGAGAGGGGGGAGGGTCAGAGGGAGAAGCAGACTCCCTGC